TACTTATTGGCTGAGTTTTATTTGTTGATGCGCTTAGTAAGTTTAACAACAGAATAGTGACCATGCACATAACTATACAGAGAAGAGATTAAATGGAAACAAGGGCATTAAATTATTCATTGAAAACACTAAAGAATTTCAAGTCTGTCTCACTGCATCKGTAAATAATTGATAAGAATGAATGTGCTGCAAACAAGTTGAAAAAAGTTCGCAGGAGGGCAGAGAAGCTCTGAAAAGCTTAGGCATTATTTTTAACTTTTTTTTTTTAAGTTTTGAATAACTTAATCAGTAGCATAGGGTTGAGTTGATATTTATGAAAGAAATCCAATAACCCTACAAGTGATAGAAACAGCACAAAAACTGTACATGCTTTAAATAATGAATTGAAGAACATAGCTGCAGTCTACATAACAGGCAAAAAATTATTTTCCATCATTTTGAACCTATTAAATATGGAGAAAGGCATACAAAGTACAAAATACTGTATTAAAGCATTGCTTCCTTGACACATTTTTATCACTGGCTAAACACTATAGCAGTCCTCTAAACRGTCTACGATGACTCCTATAGCACTTGGAATAGTTTATTCCAAGAAAATCTTCCACCTGTCAGTGACTGAAGGAAAAACATGCAACAAAAAATATTATTTTTTTTTTTAAAGAGACTTCAGTTTTTACAGCAGGCTTTTAAAAACCAATTCCAGCTGGAACCAAATTGGCTACAGCTAAACAAGACCAACTTCCATGCTCAGAAACATCTTAGATTCATTTATGCCTCTAATCATTATTGCCATCAACCTAATTTTAGCCCCTGGTTTAAAATAAAAGTTTCCTCAGAAGATGCGAGACTCACCTCAGTTACAGACTTTTCAAAGTATATAGTCTGACTGCAGAAAATACAAAACCTAATCACATCCCAGGGTGAAATACTCTCCAAAATCTTCACAAAATGCCCCAGCGATCCTGCTGGACTCATTCCTTGAAGAAGGTTTTGATATACTTCAGCTTGCAAAGCTCCACCTTTTCTGATTGGTGTCACACCTTCCTTTTAAGGGAGGACGCAAAAGAGGAGGCAATGCACAGGAGAGAGCAAGAACAGATCATTTAGCAATTGATAAYGAAACAAGACTAAGTACAGCAGGATACAGGAAAAAAGTAGGTTACTGCTAAGTGTCTGAAAACAGCAATGTTTCTGCTCCATCTTCTATCATAAGAAAACTACAGTATTGTTATTTAACTTAACGCTATTAAAAAGCCACAAGTATGACAAGAAAATGCTTATGGGAATCAATATTCAGTTTTTAATACACCAAAAGAGAACAAAACAGTCTTAAAGTCAGCACTTAAGGAACTAACTTACAGAAAAGTTGCTGACATGAGTGACCATACAGAAATCTACAACTGATTATTTAAACCGGATATAAAATTCCTCTGAGCTTCTTAAGTTTTTCAGCTGCAAGTCTCTCTCACCAGTGTAAAGTAACCTGGTTCCCTTGTTCCTTTGAATTAACATTTCACTTTGGAGARAATAACTTAGATCATCATGAAATTCATAGCTACTACTACTAGCTTCCCTACAGTAGCATACACCAACAAGCCAGATGGGATTAAAACATGCTTTTGCCTTCCCCACCACATGTGTGTTCAGCTCAAGGACATCATTCATCCAATCCATCCACTTCAGAGATCATTCTAAAGCAGATCTTGGACTCGTAACTTCCACACAAGGCTCTGGGAACAACATTTCTCAAAGTAATTCCCCATGATACTCTGGATTCACAAATATATTTTAAAAGAACAGCCTTTCAGAACCACCAGGGAGAACAAACCTGTTTCAGCACGTCCTGTTCAGACACTGCACCTCTGAACAGCATTAGAAGGGGAAGAAAGAAATAAAAATGACTAAACATAAACTAGGGGATAATACTAAACACTTATCCTCAAAAGCACCCCAAATACAAGTGGTATGAACTACACAACAGACCTGAGGAGAAGTTAAGATAATTATCGGCCTTTTCAGCTCAAATCCCATCTCCCTCCTTAAGTGCTCAGCTGTTCTCAGCAATGACCTAAGCTTCCTGTTCATCTCTCACTACTTTTCAGCTGTGAGCAAGGACATCTGAAGATGCTACACAGATGGCAAGGCAATCTTCTAGCAACAGGCACCCCACAAAAGCCCTAAGATTGAACACACAGTTCTTCAGATCAAACAGGACAAGGACAGTCTAAAATAGATACAGACACACACGTGCAAGACTATGTGCACAGACTACATATCACAGCAGTAGAGAGGAAAATTACAGAATAAGCTTCCAAGTAAGACTCTAGTTAGTGGTCCAGAAGGACCTCTAGTGACCCAGAAGATCCCTTGGATAACAGTGGTCCAGAAATGGGGCATCCCTTGAATAATGCAGCTTCCCCAATGGCACGGGTAATGCAGGAATTGTATCCTATAAAGCTAGTAACTCCAACTCAGGAAACATGAATTCTTCACTATGGGAAATGTTTCAGAGAAGTCTTTGTATGACCTCCTATTCTTACATTATTCTCTGGCTATCAGCTGTTGATCTCTCTGGAAACCAAAACAAAACGTGGTTTCCCTTTTTCCTATGTCTACTTTGACAGGACAGGGAAGTGCTTTAATGGGACATGTGCACTACACAAGGGTCCTACAGAGAATACAAAACTTTGTGACATGCTGTAGTCATGCACTGATGTTAGACCCATACAATACGTTCCAGAGACCCAGAAGAGTCATGTGAGCTCCTAGTGAATATGTCTGAACATTAAAACCTGCTTAGTCATACACTGATTTGCATGGCATCTTGCTTGTATGCAAGGTCAACTTTCCAGCTGCAGCAGAAGATGACTTAGGTAACCAACTTATGAGCATACAAGTCTCAAAAGATAATAAGGCACATGATCATTAACAGCACAAGGAGTTGGTGAGGAAAATGTGCTGCAGCTACTCATTTCTTTCCACATGCTGCTGTATGTGTTCATACCCTTTAGGAGAAAGAGGACTGTGCCTGAAGCCCTRGATGCTCCATGCACCCACCAGCCACTGCAATCAGATTCTTTCCTCTTGCCCAGTACAAAATTTGACTTTTTGTCAGTACAGTACAAAGCCTGACTTTTGAACTTCCAGGTCATATTAAAACTCAGTAAACTAAGCCTGTGTTCTTCACCCCAACTGCAGGTGTTCTTCATTCCAAGAAATGCCAAGGAAACTAGTCAAACTATAACCAAAGCCTTACATAAATTGCAGGGTTTATAYCTGGTTCCAGTGAAACTTTGGTATGAAAAACAGATAACAGTTTGGGGGGATATTGTGTCTTGATGGAGAAGAGCATAAATTCCCGGAGGCAGGGCTCAAAAGAGAAATATCTGAGAAGGCAACACTTTATGGCTGCTCTGCATTGATGTAAAGTTGGGTAAAAAACAGCTCTAAACAGTCTTATTCCTCCTACAWGGAAAACCTTGTAAAAATCATATTTCTGGCTAGCAAACTGCTCACGTCACAAGGATTTAATATTTATTCCTGAAAACAATTTTGTTATTTTTAGCTGTTTGTCCTTCCAAGCTACATAACATCCTATCACACCTACAATGAGTAGTAACTGAAGAGAACACAAGCCAGTGCAAAACATTTAAATTCCGGTAATTATAGGGATTTCAACCATTCAAAAAGAAATTATAATTGTTCAAACCTACTAGAAGCACCTTTCATTGGTCTGAATGCCATGGTCATCCCACTTAAAAGGGACAATATCCTGGACAAGTGTCATTTGTGGGGCAGAAAGCCTCAGTGCCACAGGAGCCTTGAGAGTCACACTGGGACAGAACAGAAAGCTGCAGCCCTACCTGCTCTTCCACCTGGCATTTTATTTCACAAAAATTTCAAATCTCTAACAATATGAATTCCTGAATGCACACACTAGCTTGGTTTGTGGTGTGAAAAAAAACTTTGCTTTTGGAGAACAAAGGGTGAAATCTTTCTGATTTGCATGTTTGTACAGAAAGCTTTAAAAGTACATTTTGATGTGAAATATTAATAGGTATGGCTAGAACACTGTGTCAAATTTTCTCTGTAAAAGCCTTAAAAATAAAAAGATAACCACCATAAATAATTATGCAATTTTCAGCTTATGAGCATTTGGAGTGATTTTCAGAGATGACTAGAGGTTGTGGACCTCAGGCTATTAGGCACTTAAGAAATGTTCTGAGAAAGTGTTGATCAAGCTTCAGAAAAAAGTATAAAATATTTTAGATTACCTCAAAAAAGGCAATCTCAAACACTATTCAATTAGAAAACTGAGACTCGCTTCCACCAATTTCAATGCAGCAGGTTCACCACCTTACCCTTGCCACAACTATATCAATCTCTGAATTTAACCAGGATCAAAGCAGAATTAAACTAGAATAATCCAGTTGATCACAGCAGAGATACCTATAGATCTAAGTAGCAATTCTTTAAGACAGATTAAGCAATGAAAGTTTTGTAAGTTGAAGACCAAAAAGTTAACAGTAGTAATAAGTCATATTCCTATTTCACCAAAACTAAACCTATTCAAAACCACTTTAMAAGGAACATCTTGTACTTCAGTAAGAGTACATACAAATAACTCAGGAATTACTTTAAATTCTTTTCTTTTTGAGGTTTAGTATAATAACACTAAGATTCGAACTATTCTTTATTAATAACCAAYGTCACTCCGTTGTAAAGGTTGTAACTTAGACATGCTCATCAGTATTTTTATGGTTTSAGTTCTTTCAGTGCATAAGATTGATAAGCATACTTCACATGCACTGAGATTGTATTCATAAATCAAAGCTGTATGACACACAGACAAGTAGTAACATAGAAACAAAGTGCTACAAAAAGCCTTCACAGATTTTAATTTAATCAAAAGAGACTGCTCCTGTGAAGAAATACATCTGTTTCTACAAAATATGCTGTGAAAATGAGCAATATAGATTCAAGCAAAATTAAGCTCTGTGTGTGATTATTTTGGTCTCCTCTCCACAAAGGGAGCACAGCATGCGTATCTCATACAACTATTCAAGTTTTACAACATGGCTCAGAGAATAGTGTGCACCATGAGCAGTGACTCATTTATTGTCCCCTAGAGGTTACCTCCTAATCATATCTCCAATGAAATCACCAATTAAMATGTCCTTAATCCATGGAAGTCATAGGATTGGAGTCTATAGGTTGGCAACTATCTCTGGAGGTCCCTGGTTCAATCCAYTACAAGAGGATTGCTTTGGGCCATGCCCGGTTGAGTTCTGAGTATCCCAAAGATATATAAGAATAGAGATTCTCAACTTCTTTGGGAGGTTTTTCCAGYATTTGACCACCCAAAGACAGAAAAATCTTTCCCTACTCTAACTGTCCTTTCCTACAGAGGCAAATTGCCTTTTTTTCCCTCCTTCCTTCCCTAAAGACACAAACAGGTTTACTTCATTCGTGGCAGATGGTTCATGAAATTGTCCTTAAAAAGCTCTCGTGATTGAGACTCCATACCCTCCTAAGTCATCTAGAGTGCTTTCCATGCCAAACTCCTCTCTTTACTTCAGAGAAAGGCCATGAAGCACTGGACGACTCTGCTTGTGGACCACACTCACATGAAAGAAGAAYGGTTACCAGTATCCTCTGATGATTTTGTTCAACTTCGACGTGTCACCTGTAGATAAAAAAGAACAAGTTGCTGTCTTACAGAGAAATCTGTTCTACATAATAGTCATATGGAAGTAACAATAAGCAATTGCAAATGCAGAAAGGATGATATATTTTCTGGCCTTATCAGACAATGTTATGTTTTTACAACCCAGATGAGAAATGACTGCAGCTCCCTGATCTATTAATTATGAAAACATTTCCTCTGTTCTTCTGACATGTCAACAAATATAGTCATCTAACCTACTGCTGGCTCCCTGTCAAATACAGCTAATTAAATTACATTTAATTAACCTAGGATGGGATTCATCATGGTAGGAGCCAAATGTGTATACAGTTGGTTATTTTTATTTCCCTTGCAAACCTCTGTATAAATGCAAGCCTAAATCCAGGAGGACTATGGTAGGATAAATGRGGTCCTATCTGCACTTTCAGATTCCCACAGCTAACAGTTCTGCTCACAGTCATTTGGGACCACTGAATAGAGCCAAATTTCATCACATTCACCTTTAGCTTCTGCCTTGAAAACTTCCAGGCTCTGAATTAGATTTCATTTCATTTTCATGGGAATTACAAATACAGAAATTCTGGTGCATTTAGAAAATGTCAGAATACRTACATGGAGAATTCTTCATTCTTTCATTAAAAGAAAGCAGGTTTCTTTTAAAGAAAAAACAGGTTTCTCTTAAAGGTGTCATGAAAAGGAATGCYTTTAGAAACATGTTATTTACTATCTACCCTGTAGAAGTGACAGGTCAACTAGAGAGAACTTGTCCAGATTCCACTGCTATCTGTTTCTTGTGTAAACATAAACCAGAAAGAAACATCAGTGAAGGAAGTGCCAGGAATACAGTGTTGCTAGAAAGTATCATCAAAAATGCAGGTGACATTTAGGGTGCTCCAACTTTGAAAGCAGCATTTCTGGCAGCAGATACCAGACTACTGCTCTAAGAGCCCAGAACCATCGTAGGCATGGGCAAAATTCTCCTATCAGGCTGCAGGTCCTGTTGGAAACAGCACAGATGTGAGAGAAAACAGAACAAAATGCCAGAAATGGGACCTGCATCACAAGACAGTCTGACCACAGCATCACACCCTCTGCCCTGCCCCGTTTCCACACAGACCCCCTGTAACATTTCCCAGCAGGGATCCCAAGCTCCATGTCTGCAATGCTCCCATGTGAGTATTCCTGATCTGCACTTGGACTCCTTGCTCACCAGTGGCTCCAGTTACAACAYGATGACTTTCAAGCACATCTCAAACTCAGGTGGACTCTCTTGCAATCACCCAGCCAAGCCCTGCACATTTCATTGGAAGAAAAAAAAATGTGACAATCTGTGCTTTTCACTGGGTCTGTGAGCTCCTATTTCAGCAAACACCTTAGCTGGTACCTACCACAGTCTTTGCTSAAAGGATTGGACTCTGGAGCTATAAACTTCTCAGGTCAAGCTCTGCCACTCACCCCAGGGCACTTGGAAAAACTTGTCCCAAAAGGAAAGTAGGAAAAACATTAGAGACACCTTTTCCTTTTTGCAGCGGAGACTTTGGATGCACACAAGTTCTATGAAAAAGAAAGACCTCAGTCCACTAGAAAAGCTAATAGCCTCCTCCAGCTTTGAGAGAGGAGAAAGAGCACAGACACCATCACCTGATGGATGCAACCTGGGTGGCCGAGCAAAGGACTGGCCTCCTCCAACTTTATGAAGAGCTTTGCATTGCACAGCACCTTGTTCTCCATACGGCTGATACTAAAAAGTCATCTTCAGAAAAGGTGGAATAGACGGAAGGAAACCATCACCAAAAACAATTTAGTTTGGGCRGTACTCTGCAAGAACTCCTCACTCCAGGGACATTCAGAAAAGTTTCTAGCTAAGAAGAGCCTTGAAGTGAGAAGCATTAGAGGCTACACTAATAGAGCTATCAGCTATGCCGAGAATTTCAGTACAAAGGAGAAGCAAAGAGTAAAATATAGTCAAAGGAGCAAAATCTCCAGGGAGCAGAGGTCAGACCAATCAATACAAAGATGTAGTCAATATCTGCTGAAAATGATGCTTGGAAACAAATGCTAAATATATGTATTTTCCAGAATTTCACAAAGAAAAYAGTCTTATGGAAAATGCACAAGGAAGCTTCCAGTAATTACGGATATAATGTATATTTCTTTCATTGACCATTAATTTCTATTAATTATTAAYCAGCCATTGCAGTCAAGACTATGGCTTACAAACAATAAATGATAGGGGTAGTTTATAGATTTGATTTTACATCCATCACACAGCATGCTAATGAATGATAAATGACCTAGACTAAACCAGGAATTTGATCCTCTTATTGTTTCATCGATTTCCTGAGGCCACGGGGAGTTTGGGATCAGGGAAGGTCAGTTGCTTTGATGGACACAAGTCTAAGGTGAGGCCCAAAGGTGACACTCGACCATGCTATAGTCGCWCTCCAAGGAGCTTCCACCTACAAGGACACCCATAAGGACACTCCTGATTCCAGGAGATCTCAGATCTCACATGCAGCAGCAGCAGGGCAGAAATCTTTCACTAAACCCAGAGCCTTCACCTCAAGTTCTTCTGGTTTTAACCAGAAGCAGAAAGAGGTGGAAAGTCTCTCAGTTCACCTTCACGTCTCGCACCTGCCCAGAAATACCTCTATTCCTCTCCTCCTCTTTCTAAATCTCAGCAGATACTGCCTATCCTAATATAGGACAATATTCTCTATTCCCTATACAGAAGCCATCTAAAACCCAATGGCTTTTAGAATTTCCACATGACCGGCCACACTCACCTTGCATTCAGGATCTCTTTAGCAAATCAGCAGTACAAAGCATTCATAGGCCACAGAAATATGTCCAAATTTGATGAGTAACTGTAAATATCGATAATAAATGGGTTCCTAGGAAGCAGAGGAAGACTGCAGGTACACTGCCAGACAAGGATCTCTATCTTCAGGACATCCTGAACAAAACTGTGAAAATAAGGAGAGGGGAGATTTTAAAGCTTGAAATTATATTAAAGATAAAGTATCTGGATTGTAACAATATATGCTATCTGCTGCAAACTTTTCACATCTCTTAAAAACAAAACCCTTACTTTGAATCAAGCACCATTCAGCTTTTCACATTGCAAATAGCAGTATTAGAAAGATCCATCCGGAACTTTCACACTTTCAACTCTCCAGCTTCTCCGGCCTACAAGAAGGGCAAAACCGCAAAAATAAAGCATGTTTTTGGAGCTGACACTCCCCATTTGTGAAAGCACTTTCTCAATCAATTGGAGAAATAATGAAAACATTTATGATTTCCATTTTTTTCTGAAATTGCTGAGAAAGGTTTTCACTGCAGGAACTTGTACCACATAGCCTGGAATCCACAACCAGTGACATTTAAAAATTAATTTAAAACTGAAAAGGTAATTTTGGAGTAGTGTCTCAAATGTCAGATGGATCTATTAAAACAGCTCTTGACAGACTAATCTATAAGTCCTCCTCTTTWAGCGTGATATTTGTATTGATTTTTAAGATAGCAATCCCATTACTACACATTAACAGCATGGACAAGCACCTCTCAGCAAGTATTTAGTGTTACAACAGAGCAAAGCAAGAACATGAGGGCAATCATTTTTTCCATCACAGAAGGTGAGGTTAAATGGTGAAAGGAACAGCTTAACACTTGCCATCCTAAAATCAAACCTATCTCTAAAGCAAGTTTTCAGTACAGCACTTCTGTGCTGAAACTGCTCTCCAAATCCATTCCATGTAGGTATTTTGCCCCCTTCCCACCAACTTTAACATCTACCTTATTTTTTAACCCTACTCCGAGTAGGGTTAAAGCAGTTAAGATACTCAAGCACTTCAGATACCAGAAAGAAGGTAGAAACCACAACACCAAAGCAGGAATTTAGACAGCCACATTGTTCTACATTACACCCTAGGCTGCTATGGCATCTCAGATTGGTCCAACTCCATCAAAGGAGATAGTTTGTATTGCCCTTGCCAAGAAGGGAAAACCACAGAAAGAGCAGAAAATCCCACCATTTCCACCACTCTTTTTGCAGAACTAGGAAGTGGAGCTGAAAGCCACCTAAGAAACTTGTTGCTGGGCATACCTATTGCCCTCAAGTTGCAGTCTATCCTTGCTGCTTCCAAACATAGTTTTGGAAATTGAAAATCCAAATTGCTTTTAAACATCAGCAAAACTCAAAGTTATCTGCAACTTATAAACCAATAGGTAGAGGAAACTAATCAGCCTTCTTTTCTTAAGAAGGCTGAATTTCTCGTCACATTTCTAAATACTTTGATTTCCCAGATAGCGGTCTCCTTTCTGCCACTAGATGTCCCACAAGAACAGAACCTGTACAAAGCAAGCTGTGAGCACCTATACCCTGCAAATCATTTCTRCACCAAGACCCAGCATGCAGCTGCTCTATTCACGCTATTTGAATCCTTAGCAGCTCAGGCACTGCAGCAACAGAACATCCACTGAACACGGCATGTGCAATTCTTGCTTTGGAAACCCTCACAAACACATGTACTTTTTAATAAAGACAGTGTCAATGATCCTCCTAAATCTGTATATGTGTGAGCATATATACATATATACACAGTGCGCTAAAGGAACATCAGAATGACTGAACAGTAACATAACTGTATTTTTTTCCCCTCCAGTCAAGTGCCTTTATACACAAATCCATAAAAGCTTCTTCAAGTTTTGGCAACTGCAAAAACATAAGAAACATCATTCATTATGTAAGTTTTAAGCATAATACAGTTCTAGCAGGGAAGCACTATAATGAAAACACATTCCCTGTGGAAACACTGTGCTTTGCTAAAGTATGCTTCATAAAAAATAAATCATCAGGAACTAGATGGAATTTCACCTGGCTAATGCCAAAGATATGATCCCAAACAATCTGGGGAAGTCTGTCCAAAATACACCACCTATCAAAGACACTTTGTATTTAACTGCTCTGCTATTCAAAATGCACAAAACAAACCAAAAGCGAAGACAAGATGTACTGCTTTAATGCCTTGCATCAGTCTCCAGAAGACACCAGCCTCTACTAACCTTTTTCAAAAGATCCAGCAGGGAGGAAGAGAGGAAGTTCCTAAATATTGCTTGTAACAGGGCTTCTGACTATGGGAACACAAGTGAGATGGCTCTAAGACTAATTTTGTAGCCTCCCTCACACTCATGATTGACCTGCAAGAGAAGACTTAGGCTGGAGAGCTAGTCCTGCACTTTTTACTCAGAGAAAAAATTAGTTTTGAAGACAAGACTAGGGCTCAATACCAACTGGAAATACAAAACACCACAGAGAGCTCTACTAATTCAACTGGCTGAACTTTCCACAAGAATTGAGAAACTTCAGTTGAGTTTGAAATTGAGAAACCAGGCCCTTGAGAAACTTTTGCATCAGGGTTTTCAAACCAGCACAGCACCACCACATACTCAGTTTCTGCATTTCAAAGCCTGTCACCAAATGAATAACCTACTGCTAAAGCATAYTCCAACTATCTGCAAGAGTAAGGAAAATAAGAGATAGATGAGAAAGGTGGGAAGCTGTGTAACTGCTAAGCAACATGGATACCTGGACTGCAGGGGAATTGAACCTCCTGATCTGTGCAATAGTATTTACTTCTATCAGAAGGACCTTGCCCATCTCTCAGTTATTTCCACACTCCCTTCCTGCTGCAGAGTACCATAAAAACAATGTTTAATTTAAAAGTGATTGCTCCTGCAGTCTTTCCAAACCAGGTCTACAGCTTGGTGAGAGCAGATATCAAAAGGTAATGCACCAGGTAAGCTGGGAGCCATAAYCAGCTCCCAGGGGTGAGCAAGTCCTAGGGCTTTCAAGAAGATATTTTTGCTCCTCAATCTCTTTCAAAGAACAGAGGAATCTTAAAACACATGTCTTGGCAAAATCACTACCTAGAAAATAAACCAGTCCTTACCTCACACCTCTCCCATACTAATGAGCTTTTTTCAGTAATACAAAAGAAACATGTGTGAACAGGGCCCATGACATTCACAATAAATAGCTCAGCTGTTCTCCTTATTTTAAGCACATACCTATCTCTAAATTGAATGATAATTACTTATAAAGAGCCRTATTAAAATTCAAGGCCCTGCTAAGCAAGCATTTCTGAATCCTGCTCCTATGCCTGCTACACCTACCAACAGTTACAAATCCTCCTCAACTACTATCAAGAACAACACATTCTGCTTGCTTTATACTCAGTCACCACAAGAACACATTTAAAATTTCACAATCAGTGCTATCACATTTAAAAATCAACTAGAAACAGCAATCCAGGCAGATCTTACCTTTCCCTCTCTCAGAAAAGAGAGAAGTGAGGCATGGGTCACTCCTTAAATTATGTCACTAACTGGCACCACCTGTTTGCAATTAATTGTTCACCTACCACCCAATTAACACACCAACCCCTCAGAAGGCAAAAACGTTTCTGATCTGGCCAGCATTTACAAATGCCAGTATTCATGCTTTGCTGTGGATATGTCATGTGGAAAAGAGGTGGCAGGGCAGTAACTGCAGGGGAACCTGCCGCAGCACCAGCACTCAGTGGTTCGAAGCCCCTACTCATTTTAGACATCTAGTTCTCATGAAAATACATTAAAAAATAAAGCGAGAGAGAAAAACYTGCTTAGGATGTTTCTAGACTACATTTATGGTCAAAGTGTCCACATTGAGAAGTGGCAATCAAGACTGCCTTAAGCCCAAACTTCTGTTTCATCAGGTGTTGTCACATGCAGCTCCCAGGCCCTGGCCACACACTTTGCCTCCTGGAGCTCCAAGGTCAGCTCGAGGTTTGGAAGTGTCATGGCCGCCAATTGCCGGGACAGAGCTGCAGCCTTGCACCTAATTCCTCAGTGACCGTTATGCCTGTGCTTAGCTTCAAATATCCACGTTGTTAGAGCACCTTGGTTTCTCTGTGATGTTCCTGCAGCAACAAGACTGCTGCTCAGGGAGTGCTTCAGCAAGGGCGTTTTTTAGTTTCCATTTAGGAATCCAGAGCAGACTGGGCCACACAGTCATTTTGCCGATTGGAGTCCTGGCAGTTGAAGGACCCTGTCTGCAGAAAGCAGTATCCTGCTTACAGCTTTACTGCAGGCAGCAGGTGCAGCAGCAGTCACCCCTCCTCCTCCGCTCCCCCGCAGCCCTTCCTTTTCCTTGAGTTACAGACAAGTTTTGAGGCCGACTTTAAACCATGTTGAGCTTGTCTGTGCAAACGTTGGTGTTCTCTCCAGGAACTTTAATATAGCCAAAGCCACACACGTATGAAATCTCTCTCAGCCGTTAATAAGAAACAATAAAAAAGAAACCAATAGCACCTGTATCCCAAGTTACTTTATTGTAGATGCAGTGAATGTTTCTGGTGGCAGAATGCTTAAAAGGATGGTTGGAATCATGAAATTTTCCTCACACCAACAATTGGACTGACAGAAAAAAAAATATACCCGTGGCTCCTTCTTCGCTGCTGAGAAGGACTTGGGGGCAGCTGAGAAATAGCTGTGCAGCATCCCCCAAGACCTAGCATGCAAATATCCTTTTAGCAGAGCTTCTAGAAACAGGCAAAGCTTCATTTATCGAGCATGGTGGTGGGGACGCAGGAACCTTCTTTATACAGGGAAATTGGTCCCCAAAGGGAAGGATGAGAACCTGCACAGCTGCCCTTAACCAGATGTCAAAATTTCTTGCCCTGAGAATGTGCTTGAAATGAATTCCTGCCCTGGCATCCCATTCTCATTTTAGATACCTCGTACCTCAAAGGCCGTAAGACTGAAACTAAAAGCGATTCGTAAGTGTAAAAATTGAATTTATGCTTCACACACTGGGATGCTGCTGGGGACCGATGCCGTATGTGTGCACAGCGCACACCAGCCAACACATCTGTGGTTCTGCTCCACAAACACCAGCCTGGGAGCTGGGATTTCAGCGCCGAAGGCTGCAGGCAGGGGAGGGCAGGCAGCAGGGACCCCCTTGCAGCAGCCGAAGAAACGCAGTTTGCCGTTACAAAAKGATCAGGGACGGAGGGAAGACGGAGGGCCCTGCAGGAGACCGCGGCGAGCGAGTGGCAGCCCCGGCGGCCGGGCGGGCAGCAGCGGCCCCGCCCGAGCCGCGCGCCTACAAGAGGCGGCCCCAGGGCGCGAGGCGCGGCCGTTGGGCGGCCGTTGGGCGGCCGTTAGCGCAGGGCGCGGCCGTTGGGCGGCCGTTAGCGCGGGCAGGGCAGCAGGCAGGAGCTCCGCACCTGGCCCCACAGGGAGCTCTGCTCTCGCTCGACCCCAGGGGGAGGAATGGGCCAAAGCCAGGGTGTCCACTCGGTAGAAAGCCGGTGCCAGGAAGGCTGTGGTGACACAGACTGAGCTGCCACATGTACCTGCAGCTGTCCTGGTCTCCGTCTGTAGGGAGCACCTGAGCTCCTCAGTGTTCCCATGGGGGTAGCAGGGACAACGCCTTGCAGGTCTGGCCACCTGGAAGAACTGTGTAGCCTGGTGGGGTTGATGAAGGAGGAGCTAGAAAGGCTAAGGACCCTCAGAGAATGTGAGAGATAGATACATAGGTGGGAGTCACAGCCTGCAGTCATCGCAGCAAGTGTGCGGGGGAACACTCCCAATCTAAGGAGGATCTATCCTCTTACCTTAGGGCAGAAGAGCTGGAATTAAGAAAGAGGTTCCTGTTGGAAGTGGCAGGAGAATCCCCTCCCGGGCCACCTGGCCTCCTCAGGTGAGTATATGCAATAGATATGGAGTCCTGGAACTTGAGGACATGGACTGAGGTACATCTGAGGGTTGTCTAGAGCAAGTCAAGCACACACCTAAAGACTGCTCCTACTAAGAAGAAAAGAAGGGTAATTGTTGTGGGTGACTCCACTCTAAGGAGAACAGAGGGCTCACTATGTTGACCAGACCCTTTCCACGGGAAGGTATATTGCCTCCCAGGAAGCCAGGTGAGAGACAAGAGACATCCCAAAGATCTTATACGGCTCTCAGACTATTATTTGCTACTGTTCTTCTAAATTGGTGGTGATGAAGTTGCCACGAGAGGCCTGAAGTCTGTGAAAAGGCACTTCAGGGCATTGGGGAGACAAGGGAGCGGGTGCACAGGTGATCTCCTCTATCCCCTCAGTGCTCTCCCAGAAGGATACTGGGAGCAACAGGAAAAGCCAGCTGCTCAACAGCTTACTAAAATGCTGGTGTCATCAGTCAGAGTTCTGTGACCGGTCATGAATGGTGTTCCTCAGGGGTTGATCCTCTTTATTCTCTTTATCAACAATGTGGATGAGAGGATTGAGTACATGCTCAGCAAATTTGCAGGTGATGCCAAGCTAGGAGTAGGAGTTGATYTGCTTGAGGGTAGGAACACTCTACCAAGGGAACTTCCCAGGCTGGATGGATGTGTTGAGACCAACTGTATGAGGTTCCAAAGGGCCAGTCCTGCCCTTTGGTCCCAAGCACCCCATGCAGCGCTACCAGCTTGGGGCAGAGTGGCTGGAGAGCTGTGTGGCAGAAAAGGATGTGGGGGTGTTGGTTGACAGCCAGCTGAGCGTGGGCCAGCAGCGTGCCCAGGAAGGCCAACAGCTCCCTGGCTTGTATTAGGAACAGTGGAATCACAACTAGCTGAAAGGAGGTTGTAGTGAGGCAGGGATCCGTCTCCTCTCCAGCATAACTACTGCTAGGACGAGAGGAAATGGCCTCAAGTTGCACCTGGGGAGATTCAGGTAAGAYATTAGGAAAGCTTTCAGCACGGAAAGAATAGTCAAGCCTTGGAAGAGGCTGCCCAAGGAAGTGGTGGAGTTGCCATCCCCGGCAGTGCTGAAGAGATGCGTATGTGAGGTGCTTAGGGAGATCGTTCAGCAGGTGTGGTGTGGGAGGGCTTATAGTTGGACTCCGTGGTCCTGAAGCTGTTTTCTAGGCACAATGATTCTACCATTACTCTACTTGTCCAGGTGGGAGTTTGGCGGTGAGTTGCCTTGCTTGGGCAGTGCCGGACTCGAGGGCTGTTCCTTGCAAGTGCAGCCAATCCAGGCCTGAGCAGGGCGTCCCCCAGGGTGTCTGCGGCTACAGAGATGGCAAGGAGAGCCAGCGGTGTAGATCTTGTATCAGCCCTGCAGGGACAGCCTTAACACCTACTTTCCATGCAGATCTGCAACTGGGAGGAGGCTGTGGCACCTGCCAGCTCCCTGTGAGGCAAAGCACAGGGTGCTGTGGGGGCTCGTGGAGGTGCAGGAGGACAGGGAGCAGTGGGCAGGGGAGCAGACRAGGGTCAGAGCAGCCCTGAGGGGAGTGGGGGTCTCACAGAGGCTTAGGGGCACCCTGAGGGCCAAGAGGTGTCATGAGCAGGGGGACGAGTGGGGCGTGCGGCCCCTGAAGGTCATCCTGCCCCTCCCCGGTGGGTCACAGGCGTCCCTCTGTGACTGCACTGCTATGACATCCTGGCCAGGCGGGCTCGGCCTGCAGTGTCCGGGAGGACGGCAACAGGAGAGGACGGGAGCGAAGGTGCTGCTGAAGAAGCGCACTGAGAGCACCCAGAATTATCTCTGTTGTCCCCGGGCGGCTCCGCGGAGTTTGGCCACGCGGCCAGGATGGCGGAGCGACCCCCCAGCCAGCCCTGGATGGCTTGGGAGGAGGAGGAGGATGGGGCGGTTGCATCGAACACCTGCGACCCGAGGCCCCACGCATGGTGTGTGCACCAGAAGGTGCCATCAGGTGAGTGAGGGGCAGCGCTGGGCTGGGCAGGGGCAGCAGCGGGCGCAGGGGCAGAGGGCTGGGCTGCCTCGAGCCCTCTCTCCACCAGCCCTGCAGCTCTGCCCGCTCTTTCTCCATCAGCTCCTGGCCCGCAGCTGCCTCRAGAGGCAGCAGAAGCCCTGGAGCATGTGCGTGCCTTCCTCAGCTCCGGAGGGCAGGTGAGTGTCCCCAAGGCGCTCGGGGCTGCGCCGGCCTCTCCTGCTGGGTCCCTTGGGGTGCCCGAGCCCTGAAGGGCGCGCAGGGCAGCGGGCTGTGGGGGCAGCCCCTGCGCTGCTCTGGTGCTGCTGGCCCTGCCCCTCTTACGCTCTCTGTTTGTCCCTCTGCTTGTAGCAGCAGGAAGAGGCCAAGAAGCTCCAGTTTCTGGCCTCCATCTGCACCCTCTGCCCAGCAACGCGCTTGGYCACCAGGCCCGCGCGTCTCCTGCGGCAGGAGCTCTGGCGGTGCAAATCGGACCTGGCCGAGTTGCTGGAGGTGAGGGGAGAGGGGGTGGCCAGAGGCCTGGTGGGGTACAGGACAGGAGGGCTTGCGTGAGCACCGGGAGGTGGGGGGCCCTGGCTGGTGGGCACCRGTGTCTTGCGGGGCCYTGGCAGCTCCCTATGGYGTCTCCCGCCTCTGCTCTCCAGGTGCTGCTGCGAGAGGAGCCCAGCGACCGCCTGGGCACCGCGGTGCGGCAGCAAGTGCTGCTGGCCACCAGTGCGATGAGGTAGCTGCCCCAGCGCCTGGCTTGGCCAGGGCCTCTCCAGCAAGTGGGCGCGAGGGCCCCAGGCCTAGCGGGGAGGCTGCCCCAGTGCTGGGCTGTCTCCCAGGGGCACCTGCTGGGCCCGAGAGGGTGGAGATGGGAGGGCAGAGAGGGTCCTGGGAGTCCCGTGTGTCCCCTGGGCTTTCCCCTATGGGAGAGGCAGGAGGTGGGCAGGGCCCTGGGCCSCACCTGCCTGGCCGGGTCTCTGTTCCTGGCCAACAAGCTGGGGGGAAGAGGAGGTTCCTCATGGGGCTGCCCAGGTAGTGCGGGTGTCGCCCGCAGGCCTCCCACCCCCAGGTCTGCATCCACCTTGCCAAGACCTCAGGGGGCTGCTGCCAGCCCCGCCACTGAGAGGCCCTCTCTGTGCTTGCAGCAAAGCCCRGCTGCTYKTGRAGGAGAAACGGGAGAGCCTGCTGCAGGCGTGCTTCTGCTCTGTCTTCTCCCTGCCTCCAGTGGAGCACCTGCARGRCSYRGATGCTGTCCTCTACGGCAAGGTAGGTGCTGGCTGCGTTAGGGAGGCTGGCCAGGCTGCCTGGGCTGTTCCCTGGCCCCCTTGTGCTGAGAGACAGGAGTGGGGTGCAAGGTGGGCAGGCTCCCAGCTTGGCTTTGCCACCAGCAGCCCTCCCTGCCCTTGGCAGGGTGACAGGCAGTGCCTGTGYGCTGGGTCCCGTGCAGCAGCAGCTCCCCTGCCCTGGGACCTCCCCCTGCTCTCAGCAGGACCACAGATGTCCCCTGGGGCGGGAGGATCTCAAAGTGCTCTGTGGCGGGAGAGGGGCCACGAGGAAGAAGCAGCTCAACCCTCTGTGTCCCTTGCAGACGCTGGATGCCATGGACAGCCTGCTGSAGGTGCTGGCGCTCGGTGGCCCTGCCTCCAGCCTCGAGGGCACGCAGATGATCCTGCAGGTCTGGTATTTGGTGGGAGCAGTTGCCAGGAGCAGCCCCTGTGGTGGGAGGGCAGGGCTCCCCTGTGGAGGGATTGCCCCGTGGCCACAGGGGAATCGGGAGGCAGGATGCCCTTTCCAGGCGTAAGCCTGGCCAGGCACCGAGTAGCGTGCCAGGACACAGAGCGGAGCAGCAGCTTCTCTCCCTCCTCGCAGGTCCTGCTGCCCTTCACGGAGAGCCGGGAAGCAGCGGTGCGGGAGAGGGCCGTGGGCCGCGTGGCCAGGCTCAGCGACCTCCTGGTCAGCTCTGCCTCGCTGCCGGTAAGGAGCCTGTGGTGCCTCAAGCTGCAGCCCCGCGGGCCCCTGTCAGCACGTGGCCGTGTCCTGCAGCTCCAGGCTCCCTCTGGGGAAGCCACCCAAGCTCTGGCTGCCCCGGGATCCCTGCGTGGATGGGGCTCAGGGCTTGGGTTCTGAGAGGCGCCCGCAGGCCGGGTGTCAGCAGTGCCTCCCCTCCCGCAGGTCTGCAGCTGGTATCTAGCAGATAGTGTGAGCTGTGCCCGCCTCAGGCAGGAGCATGTGCCAGTCCTGGGGCAGCTGGTGGGACACCTCGCTCTGTGCTGCACCCTTGAGGATGAGGGGAGCAGTCACAGGGCAGCAGATGCTCTATGGGATCTGTATGGATATCTCTGCCAGCAAAAGGGTAAGAAGCTGCGTTGGGCTGGGTCCTTGGAGATACGGGTACCACAGAGCAACCTCTCATCCCTGTGCTGCTGAGCCRGGAAAACTTGAGCAGCAGCAGCTGCTCTTCTGTGGCCTCCTGTCTTGCCTACGAGCAGAAAGCCAGATGGAAGCCACTCTGCCTTTGTGTTCTAGAARGCCCTTTCCCCTTGCCAGGCCTTGCAGGAGACCCAGAGCTTCCCTGGGTGTCCTGYTGYCTCTCCTTGGCTGGCATGGTCTGCCAGGGGAGACTTCTCCCTGATGYCCTCAGTGGCATCTCCAGCTCTGCAGCCTTCCTGCTGAGCGCCGTGTGTTTCCGCTCCTGTGCAGGCAAGGAGGTGTCAGGAGATATGGACAAGGATGGGGAAGCTGCAGACACCTTGTGGCTTTCGAGGTGCAGGGACACGAGGGAGATGAGCAGGGTAAGGAGCGGCTCCCGGCTGCACTGCCAGCCGTGGGGTCACAATGGGAGCTGGCTGAGGAGAGGGGTGGCTGCCGGGTGGGGCTGGTGGCCCTTGCGGGGACTGGGGAGAGGCCTCGCGCTGTCCGTGGGCCGGGAGTAGCCAGAGGCTCCTTCGTGCGCAG